AACAATGAAAGAAATTAGAGAAGAAAATTTATGTGAGTTGAAGAAAGACAGTAGCCATCAAGTGCCAAGACAAAAACAGAGAGAGTCCTGTATTTAGATAGATCCAATGTATAGGTGGCATTCTAAAGTCCAAAGATAAAGCAAAAAGCCTGAGTTTTAAGAATGAAAACAACAAGAATTGATAGAAAAAAGGAGTAAGAACCAGCATTTATCATACTGCTCGCCTATAAGACAGCATAGAGTAATGTCTTCAAAGTTCCAAGGGAAATTATTTTTTTTTTAGGAGAGCAAGGCAGAGGCTTTTATTTGGAGATAAAGTGAGAGGACAGAGCTCCCAGCTCACACCAGGAGGGGACAAGAGAGCCCGGGGTGGTGTGTTGTTTAGGGGTTTTATAGGCGGTTGAGAGACAAAGGGCTAGGGATGCAGACCTGCTAAGTGGTCCCAAAATGTTTATCTTTGCAAGAGACATTAGGTTTCTTGTTAGTCTTTCGGGTTATTTACAAGAAATTTACTGCTCTGATTTCCTCCCAGGATAGCAGCTTCCTGGTCTGGGAGCATATCACTCAAGGCTGTCTGCTTTGCTCCCAAGGTGGGCTGAGTTATTGTCTGTTTGTTAAGAAACTTACTTTTTAACTAATTGGGTTTTAAAATGCAATCTTAATTTCAAGATGGAATCCTTCCTGTTTTTACTATGTTGTTTAGGGCAGAGGGAAATGATTTTGAACTCAGAATTCTAGGCCCAGCCAACCTATTTTGTGAAGAAATAATAAATTACAACTTCAGAAATGCAAGGATTCAGAAAGGTTACCACACTCAGACCTCTCTGAAAGAATTACTTCGAGAAGTGGTCCTCTGAAATAATGAGAAGAAAACAGGATAAAAAACAGTGGTGAAGCAAGAAATAAATAAAACAATTTTTTTTGTTTTTAATGTGATTGTGGATAAAATGTATTGTCAATAAATTATTCTGAAGAAAGAGACACATCACTAATAAAAATTAGTCATTTGGAACTGAAATTCTGGGTGATTTAGATAAAACATAAAAGGTGAGAAAGAGAGAGGGGGAGTGATTATTTCATTCGGAGAGTGGCTGCTGCAGGCATTAATGCTCAACACAGATTTAAAAACATTGACTATGTTTAGTAATCAATAGGGATGGATGCATAACTCTCAAACCATTATAGGAAAAGAAGGACAAACTCAGTCAAGGGTGAAAAGGAGGAAAAAGAGAAGGAACAAGAAAACATACAGAAAACATAAAATAAAATGGCATGAATAAGACTAAACAGTGTATGTGAAAAGGTTAAACCCTTATGTTGAGATTTTCAAAAGTCCAGCTACAAACTGTTTATAAGACACATGCCTCAAAATAATAGAGAGAGATTTGGATTTATACCGGGGCACGAGAAGGATTCCTTCACACTGAAACCTAGGATTTGCAGCAGCAATTTGAGAGGCAGAAAGCATCTGAAGGGGCTCCTGGTGAGTCTTAGAGGGTGTGGTGGGGTGGGGGGATGAAATGCATCCAGAGGAAATTGGAAAGATGGCTCTGGTCGTAATAGAAT